GCAGGATGGAGGCTTTTTGACGACTTACACACACAGAGGACTTGGCCCTCACAGGCTGTCACAAGGAATCGAATTAGATGTTCACCCGCAAAGAACCCAAAAACAAGGAAGGGACTTTCTCAAGTTGTCTACATCAACGTAGGTTCAGTCTTGAGGGTCATTTGTTGTTTCAAAGCGAGACTTAATATGTAGCAGGCGTTCGTTTGGGCCCACTACCTCAAAAGGTCATTCAATCACTGCGTTTTGTCTGTTTCACTTTCCTGGCTAGGCTTCTGGTCAGAGGCAGAGCTCCAATCTGCTGTCTGACCCATTTCCTGTCTGCCTTTTAATTCTGATTACCACTCCCAGGGAGTCGCATGGATCTCCTGAGTCAGACAATGCAGAAGAAGAAGACAAAGGAAAAGGCAAGAGTCTGAATACAACCCACTGCTGGGAGGCACTTTAATTTCATTACTGCTGTGTGTGGATTAAGACACAAACACTTCAAATAATCACACCTATTTTAATAAAAGAAAGCAATTATCTAAATAAATAAATATGATCATTTTCTTTAAATAAAATGACAATCTTACTCTAAATTATCCCTGTAAAGTGCCTTGAGACGACATGTGATGTGAATTGGCGCTATATAAATAAACTGAATTTAATTGAATTATACAGAAAAAAAACCCTGCCTGGTTCTATTTAAGAAAAAAAACAAAGTAACCTTCCCTGAACCTGACACTTGGGTTTGCACCATCAACCTCTATCAAGTTACTGCAATAACTAAACATGTGTTGTACATCACTGGGAAGGTGTTTTTTTTCACCAACACTGGAATATTCTGAATTATGAACAGATTGATAACATTACACCACAGAAGCTTAACTGACTCCAAACTTTAACTAACCAACTTCATAACTTTTCCTTTTACTTTTTTTGCCTTTCAAAAATGGAAAGTATTTATTGTGTGCTGCTAACCTGCTCATGAATAGAATAGAATAGAATAGAATTCAACTTTATTGTCATTGCACTGTCACGAGTACAAAGCAACGAAATGTGGTTTGCATCTATCCAGAAGTGCTACACAGGATATAGATATTATAACAGGTGTATGACCAGGCTGATCAGCAGATTTAGTCAGTTAGCGTTACCCTAATTAGAAACCAATGATTTTTTATTATCTTAGATCAAAATACCATTTATACATAATGTTTTTTAGTCAAGTCTATCAATTATTTTAACATCATTGTGCTAGCCTTTAACGTTATTGACTTTATACATTTCTACATGGCCATTATTACTGTTCAACTGTGTTTTTGACGGCTGCCTTTAATAAAGTATTGCTGTGTTGAGGGGATTTGAAAAATGGCAGATTGAGAAGTGAAAGTGTCGCCCATGAAGTCAGGCCATTAAAATAGCTCCAAACATGTGTCTTCCTTTGCAACGTGGTGTACATATTTGACATTTATCTGCCTAAATGTTACTGCTTTTCTCTGCTACCTGTGCAGACTACTGTGTCACAGAGCAGAGCCTGTATGCAGCAGAAGATGCG